CTCACCACCGACCCCGCCCCGCCGCCCGCACTCAGCCCCTTCCTGTCCACGTCACCGCTGCCCCCGCCATCACTGCCGCCACCGCCTCCACCGTCGCCACTGCCACCGCAACCGCCACCGCCCCTGGTGCTGCCATTGAGAGGGCGTTCGCGTCCGCGTCCACCTCCTCTTTCCGCGTTGAATATAGTGTTTCACTTTACAACGAACAGTAAGCAATTGAATTTACAGATATTACTGTTGGGATTAATCTAACCTCACTGCCCCGACACCAACTTCTGTGATGGTTTTCGGTATTTCTTTCCTTTTCCTTTTAAATTCTCCTTAGTTCTCCTCGACTCCGTAACTTATTGATGTTGTTAACCGTAATTTGGTCTGCAGTATTTACAATTTATCCACTTGCATTATTTTCTAAATTGCAATTCTTGTCTCTCACATTTTTAATCATTTTATTTCCTCACCACTGTCTGAATTTTCATTTCTTTCTTTCCGTGCTAATTATATACAGTTTTTATGTGCATTCGCCTTCTCATATACCGTTAATGGTTTCAGAATACATTACTTTATATTTCTTTCAATATTAAATAAGTGTCTGATAAACGACGAATCAAGTGTCGTGGAAATGAAAATGTTAAACATTGTTTCTTGGTCAATACAAACTATTTAAAGGAAAACTTGCTATCAATGAAATATATTCACCCCTAGAATGCTACCCCAAAGGCTACCCCTAGAAGATTGCTCATCCCTATTGGTTTTCAAGAGTAATAGAAATGTGTGCATATACATGAGGAATAAATTTGCTTTGTAGAAAGATATAAACACTCCTAAAATATGTAAATTCTTTATTATTTACACCAAAAATCTATATACTTGTACACAAAGAAAATTAACACAGAAATAAAAAAAAGCAGTCGAATTATGTAAATTGAGTTTTAATGTGTTTCTAAACATAAGTCTAGATTGCGTTGCGGAAGTTAGTAAATATTCAATATATTTTATGACACACATTTACTACGTATCAGCAACCATGCAATGGAACGTGATGTGAAGATGAGATGTCTAACCCGTATAAAATATTAGTTTTTTATAATGTTAAATTAATGTTGAAATAATTCGTTCACGCACACCTCTTTTCTTAGATTAGATGCAATGGGTATTTGAATGCATTTTACAACGGGCGTGTATCATTGCTCTGATATATGTTGATTTAAGTAACTTGGATATAAGATCTCAAAAAAGTTAACTCTGCATAAGGGAAAATATTGAATGTTGAGATATTCACGTGTACTATTCACAATTGCATTTGCCGTGGAAATATCGATATATCACCGTAAAAATAACTATTGATTTTTCAGGGTTTAAAGAGATAGAACTCAATAAGTGAAAATATTTTATTGCATAATTAGCAAACATAATGTCAATTACCTTTAGCTGCATCAATACGAACACTTTTTGAAAAAATAATTAATTTCTTCACAACTCACTGTAATGCAACTTCAAAAACTGTAATGATATATTGCTGCCCTGAACATTATTTGAGTAAACTTCAGGGACTACTGAGTACAGTATTACTATACGTATTGCAAGTGCACGTGAATCAACATCCGCGAATGTTTTTACAAATGTGAGCAGATTTACTATCTCATATCCATTATCATTTATTACAAGGCAAACTAAATTTAAAACATTCAGAGGCATCGCGTTATAAAAAATGAAAGCAAATACAGACGCAGTTAACCTTTTCTACTATTAAAATTTCACGAAATTATATTTAGACTAAGGAACTGCCAGTGAATTCGTTTACGTTCACCACGTTTCTTAGATTAGTTTCAATGAATTAGTAGATTGTCAATAATGAATGCTAATTTAACTAAAATGTATTTAAATTAATGATGCATTCTAACATGTATTTTGATCACACATACTAAACTTACTCTTTAATATTTGTTTCAGAGCGACCTCCATTCTTCACTAAGGTAAGACTACATTTTTTAATTACTGCAGTAATAGATTAGTTTCTATTGTATTTCTAAACATTACTTCTAGAAATAATTTTAATCCAATGTTACTTGTACAAATCTACAATATTTATGAGCCACGGAGAAATTATTACAGAGGAAATAATAAGCACTGGACCTTCCAAGCAGTTGATCTACCAGCAATAAGAATACCAAATATATACTCATAAATGTAATTGTAATAATTGCCTGTTATATTTTTTTAAAATTTTAGTGCCTTAAAATTTTAGACAATCAATTGTGCATTAAATATCCGTTAAAACGTATGTTTTAATAGCTAATTCTGTACCGATATGGACTTTTAATTCATTGTCTGAATTTTAAGATACTTACATAAGAAAGAAAAAAATGTTCACTCATGACTAAGTATTGATTTTGACAATTAAAACACTTTTTTAAATAAGAGAATAGACAACAAAATAAGCTCGACGTATCGCAGTTTGGCCTCTAACAAAAGAAGGCAATCATTTTGTGCGTCTTCTCCACGGCGGCCACAATTGAACTAGGATACATTTTTTCCCTTTTCAAGATAATGGACAAAAGAGTGACTACAATGAGTAGTATATCACTTTTAATGTACTTCCAACACACAATTCTCATTTCGCGCGGTTACGCTTGCGGGTGGTTTTCTTGCTTTACTTTCAGCGCTCGCTCATAACGTTCCCTATTGAACGAATATTTTCTTTTAGGAACTCCAAACGCTGCTTTTGTGCTTCGTCACGTTCCATTATTTGAAAGCCGGCCGCTTGACCGCCACTTGGTCACACACGCGTCGAATTCATACGCGCCAAGTCGACGAAAATTCTCGCATCCCATAGTCATGCACAGACTCTGACATTAATGGTGCGTGAAGTAAAGCGATATTTAATCACCTATTGTACTTAATTCATTCCGGTTTAATGTTAGTCGCAGTGAGCAGACTCCATCATAAAAGCGGTGTAAAAAGGCAGTAAAGCAGGGAACGCCGACGGGGACTGCCACTGGCGGCGGCGGCAGCGCGGGTGGATGAGGAACCGAGTGGACGGTGGTGTGGGATGTATGCAGTAAGAGCAGCGTGGACCGCATGGACGTCATGTGTGTCGAGGGCGGCGAGGGCAGAGGGTGCTGCTACCAGCCCGCCGACGCAGGGGTTGGTGGTGCTGGGGGTGGGGGTGGAGGTTGGGGTGATGCCCAGGCCTAGACCGGAGGTGGGGCTGACGTCGGTGCAGCCGGGGCTCGGAGCCCGTTGTCCGATAATCGATGCTCAACATCGAGGCGTGCGACGCTTCCCGCCGCCCCCACCGCCCTTCCCGGATGCCTCGATTCCTTCTCTGCCTGCCGCGGTGTCCCGCCGTCCGACTCTGAGAAACCGGCTCACTCTTGAATTAATCCGACGCAATTTGTCGGTGGGGCTCTCGCGGAAGCGCTGGCCGGGCCTCGTAAGCTAACCCACTCCAGCGTTTTGCTGACCCGTTCCGCAGGCTCTCCGCCAATTGCTCCACTGCCCGCACTGCCCCACCGCTCCACCGCGTACCCGCCATACGCCCATTCCTGCTCCTTCTCTTGCCCCCTCCCTTCACACCACTCATGCCTGCCGCCGTGCTATCGCCCTTGCTCCGTCCTTCACCACCCTCTGCCTCCTAACCTTTTCGCTCCCACCCCGGTCCCCGCCCGTCCCCACCCATCCATGCAGTCTGTTCCAGCTTACTGCTCCCATTTCTAATACTTTAACTAAGCATCGTCAAACGTAGTCAAAGTGCATGAAATGACGACCCGTTCCAAGCTAATGCTTTCTAGGAAAGTGAAAAGTCTCAGGAGGGCTGGTGGTTAGCGCGGCCGCTTTCCTTTCGGAAGGGTTCGGTTTGTATTCTCAGAGGAGCCAGAAGAAGTTTTGTAGTTTCTGCAAAATGGCGTAGTCGCTGTGGTTGAGAAGCGAAGGCTATGGAGGGCTGGTGAGGGTATAGACAGTGCAATGTAACAACGTTCTTCTGCGAAAAGTATTACTGGCAGGAGCGGATGGTGTTTCAACATTTTGAAGCCACAAAATTCTGGTGAGGAAATGGTTGTAGCGAGAAAACCAATGAAAAAATATTGTACGAAATAATTTGCCTCTGCGAGTCCGTTGACGGCGAGGCCGTTTTGAATCAATCTCGTCGCAGCGACCGCCAATGTCAACTTGCCCGCGAACACTTTCACGCGGAATGTTGCTCACAAATCGTGGACGCTGAGTAATGACGTTACTGAAATACTTCAAAAAGGAACGCTTCATATTGTGACTCTACGTATGGTTTGTGAATTATATTTAATACTATTTTCACAATACATAGGATGCTTTGCTTGTGTAATCTCTCTTTCAACGTGTTCATAGCTAGAGTACAAACGAAATATTTAACCGTATTTTTCTTTGACACACAATTTCGTCTAAATAGTTTATTTATACACCATGAGCGTTATATGAGTTGTAATGATCGAGCGACGACAAAAGATGAAATAATAATGATGTTGAAAGCCAGACGGCTTTTTGGTGCCCGAGATCAGTAGAACCCACCCCAGTAGTAGTTAACCCTCACAGTACCTACATGATTTTACTTTACGTAATTTTAATGATTATTGTTTATTTATTTATTTATTTATTTCCACAGACCAGCATAACTGCTTTACAGGGATTGTTTACATATAATAACAACTTAAAATACAAGTATACAAATAAATAAGACAGCAGAATACCTTTCAATCAACTTTAATGATTAATATCCACTTATTTACCAATTTAACTAGTTCTAAACTTGACTCAGTTTGTCTTATCATATTCCCCCCCCCCCATAATTCCCTCCATAAGCGATCGTGCAACTTCAACTATTTTCATAATTCACTTGTGATCACCACCCTGGCGATCCAGGTAAGTTATGAAGTGTATATTGCTCTCCGTACCGAAGGCAATAATAAGCAATAACGTATTAGTGAAAAATAAACTTTTTTCGTTTTTTATTAGGGAGCATTCTGTATTAATAATCCAGGATAGGCTAGGCATTCCAGTGAGCGCCGCTGCATGTAGCGTGTCTACCCAGCCCTTCGCCCACGGAGAGCAGCTCCGGACTCGGCGATACACGGCGATCGTTTTCCTGACCTTAATTCATAGAACTTAAAACTACGTTTTGTCACTTTGCATATTAAGATAATTAAGTTTTCGTCGTCACGAAATAAAGAAAGAAGTGAAAAGCATCATCCTAGGGTCACTCTAGAATAAGTCAGCTCTCTTCAACTAACAGATATCTGCAACAAAATGGAGCTCATTACTGGATCGTTTGTTTGCAAAATGAATGTTTGATCAATCTCAAAATCTCTCAATCAATATCAAAAATCGTTGGTAAAGAGTTTCTGTGGATGAAGCGACAACTCTGCATAAAGAATTCATTTACCAGAGGATTTTCCATATATTCGTAATTATAACACTAATGAGCTATATCTGTCGAGCTATAACTGAAGAAATATACTGTACCGATAGTACATATATGTTTATTCTTTACACGTGTATTGTGTAGTAATTGCTTGCCAGATCTAAGTGTCCAGATCTAAATGTTCTTGCCTCCTTAGAAAACCTGGAAATTGTACTTACATGCGGACACGCTCTGCAATGTCGCCCTTTCTCTCCATTCCCGTGACTCTTGTTTACGTAATGCAAGCTACCTAGTGCCCGTCGTTCGCAGAATCTGCTTACGTCCGCCGTCAGCGTCCCAGAAATCCCTTCCCGCCCGCAGCAACCAACTCCACTCCACTCCACTTCCGCCCGCCCGCCGGCCAGGGCCAGCAAGCGACCGAGGTAGCCACACCTCCCGCTGGGAAATGCACTGTTAGCGGGTCGCCGCTGTGACTGCTCGGGCTTTCCCGGGCGACGGGCGTTCAGCACGCGGAAGGCGCAGGCAATCGGTTAATCCGTTGGCGGTTGCGCTTGAGTATCCCAATAACACTGACTAGAATAAATAATTTCAATTACAATTGACTGTCAATAATAAAAGGAAACCTGCAATTCTATCAATCTTAATGAACACTCGTTCTTCTTCCCCCTTTCGCAACGTGTCTTCAGAAAATTCATTATATCTAACACTTGCCTTCAAGAAAGCCACCATCTCTGACGCGGTGAAATCTAGAGTACAATACTAAATATTCATTTTAATTTTATTTCTGGGGTCAAATAAAATTACTGCAGTTCCGCAAGTACAAATGCCCATTTCCAGGAGGCTAATGATAGCAATTAATTGACTAGCAGATGGCTAACTAGACCTGAGGGAACAAACTAATTGAATGTATGCCAACCGAAGCACTGGTAATCGTGGTTGGAGAGAGTAGGCTAGGTCACCAACTAACTCAAGTGAATTAGCGGAACTATTCGCTCTGTAAGACCCATTGTTATATGTACTTAGATCTTGTAAGATACCGAATTAGATTTCCGAACACTAACACTGATGGACTAGTCTCTCAGGAACGATGACCTTAACGCTAGTATTTTGTAGTTGCAGCTACCCCACGCAATCCTTGAGTTAAAAATACAGGCATACTCATGAAGATCATTGGCTCCATACTAAGTGGAAGAAATTTTTGTTATAGTTTGCGGGGTCTAAATTTTAACTTACTTGCGGACTGAAGTCAACTACATCACTGCTAAAATGAAATATTAGAACACACTTTCATTGCAGTTATTGTAAGTATTGAGAACTATGTTCAACAGACATCAATAATGGTGCTAGAAGCAGCAATGAAAACATCACTCATTCCTTCAGACACCGAAAGAATCTTTAAATGACTCGGCAATGAAATTAGGTAAATCAGACATAGTGTCCTCTCTCCAAAGTGGTTAACCGTGAAAACTCGGAATAGGACATTCTTTGGCTGTAGTGTTTGATCATACTTGTTATTTAGAAAAGAGTGTGAAACCATTATGTTCTTACATCACTTCATGATGAAACCCTTCTGTCTTTATATTCACTTTTCTATTTCAAGTCACTATTGCTGCATCTTGTGACCAAATGTCACTCTAAAAGGTATAGCCGAATAAGGCCATGAAAAGTGACTCCAAACCAAGTCGATAATCTCGATGCTCTTATGAAAGAGAATCAAATATGCTGTAGATTCACACAAACTCAGCCTTCTATCTGTTGGAAAGTAAAAACGAAAAACTGTTGTTCATGTTTCATTTTTTCTTCAGCTTCTATTGCATATATTAAGCTAAAAAATTGCCGAGACGGGGGAAAATATTTGAATTTTATGGTATTTTGTCAACCAATTTTGATGACTAATTCAAATAAAAATATTTCATTCACATAGATTTTTGAGGTGATAACGTTGGAGTACTGTGTCAGTTTTTCCCCTACAATGATTCTTATAACATTCGGTAACATATGTTTTCTTATTTTTAAACAGTGTGAATGATAGTAAAATAAAATTAAAACAAACTTTATCAGTTTAAAAATTTAAAATATGTGTGAAAATGTGATTAGAAAAAAGTTTCACTAATTTTTAAACAATTTATTTTTAAATAATCGACAAGTCTCGCCAACATGATTTACAAATATTTGCAAATAAATGTTTGTTTCAATGTGGAAAACATTTATATTATCAAAATAAAATCAAAAATCCCCTGTGTGTTTAGATTTCTGTTCTGTTTATAATATAAATTAAACTACACAGATGTATATTAATCATCACAATTAGACAATCATAGACAATTAATCATTATCACTGTTTTATTCAATAACCGGATTCTTTGTACGTTTGTAAATAGTATATTCAAAATTTCTGACTGTTTAACAATATTCACCAATTATCGAGAGTGTACCATACAATGATCGCAGCTATGTGGTAGTAGCATCTCCAGGTTCCACTTCCATTCGCATTTTCAAAATAATATTGATTCCTATCGTAGAAAGATGGGTTAGCTCCTCTGGTGCATCGGGTTTGTCTCGACCTGTGCAGCACCAGTTTGCTTCACAAACCACGTGACAACAACACCGGCACTTCGTATCAAAAACGAGACCTAACATTGGCCAGCATGTTGCATGGAGAGAAAGAAGTGTTGAGAAAATTTCGGAAATGTCATAAAGTGACAATTTTCAACGGCGACCAACCAAAAATTCCACGATGAAGATTTAACTGAAATAAAACATGCAATACTTCAAATAGTGCTTATCTGTTTCTGTTTTAATG